GGACGTACTCGCCAACCCGTTAACGGATTCTTTTTATGACTTTGCCACATGAGCTTGGTCTTAAACGCATTTCACACTAGTAAATTTATGATTTGTTGCAATTCTGGATTATGTGGTGAACACATGTGTTGATGACCAGGGTTACCTGTTGGGTCATCCAGGACCAGCTAGGATGGATTCTGGTCCGAGTTCAAAAAATTGGGACTAATGAAGATAGGTCGGATCTTTAAACGTAACATTTAGACTGCATGTATAAAATAAGTTCATTTTAATTAAAGAACCGGCCAGCCCTTACCAAATTAAAAGAACTGTTAATTTACCACACTTCCGATAGTTTCATAAGTCAATACGCATGACCGTGCTAAATTTTTATTATAGATTGGTAAGACAAGGAATGAAATCAAACACTTTTCGCTAACAGCAGGTACACAGTAATACTCATCTTTCTTTTGCAAGTATCTTCTTTTTCACGATATCTCAAAATTAAAAACCCTTATCCCCTTAAAAATGGCACATGTTTCTCTTGCGTGGATAGAGATAAACTAAATCCCATGCAACGACTGATACATATAGATTACTGCCACGAAGCGTACAAAGAAAGTTGGCTGGAAGAAGGACCATGAAGTCAAGGTAGAATACTATCGGGGCTCTAAATCGAATGCGCTTGTTGTGTGATGAAGCCAATGTGAGACAAGCGGCTTAGCGGAAAAGCGGTCGTGCAAAACGGACTGAGCGTTCATAACATTGAGGGAATAATAACCAGACGCAAAGGCATAGCGAATAGGCCGGTGATTTGGCCTACTCTTCGTAAATATGTGCTAATTTTCTTTTTGCTGCATTAAATTGTTTTAACAATCAGATTTTTTTAGCCTTAGAAGCAAATTCATTTAGGAGACAGTGGGCGCTTGACGGGGAGTCCGATTACCACTGCGGTTGTCTTAGTGAGTCATCATGATGTACATCGCGGCCTTCACCTTTTAGTTGACTTACTCTGCTCTCTGGGTTATATCTTAAAGTTAAGGACTAGCTCAAATGTGTTCAAAAACGCCACTGAACGAAGCTTTTCGGGTCATGTGCTACTAGTAGTAGCCGGTATTGGGTCTCAACGATATCATCACGGACTTGAGGGTGTTCTCTTTGTTGAACCTGGTAAACGCTTAGCTAAAGGGGCGGCATTTTAGCATACTGTTCAGCGATATTTTGAAGATTGTGCGCTTATTCCTTTTTTTTTAATAAATCAGAGCATAGTAAGTATGAGCGAGTGGATAGTTATTACGAGGGGTTGGGTGCCTAACGCCTCTATTTAGCAATTAAAAAGAATTTATAAAGATTATTGACTTTAAATACACGAGGTTAGATGCGAACCCTGATGATGCGATCCCTTCAGCGCGCAATATTTATAGTGCCCTGATGACGCCCTGCAATGATATCATATTATAGCGTCAAGCAGTGACGTCATCTGTGTGTATTGCACATACCTTGCGGTAGGGACGCTTCATATGTACCTCTACCACACAAAAGGTCTAAGTGCGTTCCGCACATTGGACCTTTCTCAACTTTTCCAAGTCTTACACGGAATGTTTCGTGGGATAGTTTGAACCCTGGACATGTTGTAATGGAGCACTGGCAACTTGTACTGACACTGTAAAAGTTAGCCTACACCGACACAATGTAAGTAGACCGCTCGATGCTACACGTACACGGTAAGTGCAGGGGAAGACTAACTATTAAACACTAGTCTAACAGAGGTACAAGGTAACACTGTATGAATATAATTAAGTCCTGATCATTTCCCCCTTTTTTTCCTAAATAAATCTGTTTATCTACAAAAATCTATAGAGAAGCCTTGCTCGCCACTCATTGTGCGCGTCCAATATTGATTGGACCGCAGATGTGACTGAAATAGTGCCTTTGTCAGCCAATGAGAAAGTGCTTCTAAAACATTACCATTTACGGTAATATTTTTAGGGAAACGTTAACAACCCCCCAGGTTTTCGTTAATCACCCCCTACCCCCTATATATTACCGTAATTTACTCGATGGACGCGTTCCAAATGGTAGAATTGAATATATTTCCGGTCAAAGCAGTAATTTACTATTTTATTTACAAATGATAAAATACTAAATCTAGATAATTGATGCATGTTTATGTCGGCGACGTGTGATAATTTACATGTCAGATGCTGCGATTATCCTGGATGGACACTGTAACAAAGGCATTCATAAATGCTACATTCGAAATTGACTTAAAGCCAGCTGCAGAGGTCTATCACGAGGTATGTGCACCGTGATTGTGCTTCCCTACAATGACTGTAACGTGCCAGCGCTCATCTATGCGTTGAATGACAGCTTCCAAATGGCACCCAGTGCTTCTACTAGCCCTTATGCGCTTGATCGTTTTCGTTTCTGGTACTTCGTTAACAGCAACTGGCTTGTATTATTTCCCTGTGAACACCATAGAATAATACGTTTATTTGCGCCATCTTTCCTATTTCCCACCTCTTTGGTACGCTTGATCGTTAGGACATATCGTTTAAGCTCTTGCATGTTCATTAAGTGCCTTTCGGGCTTCCTCAAGCTTATCGTATGTAGTTTAAGGAGGCGGTAGCAGATCCATATGAGAATGACAGACTACGGTGTTTAAGCGCTGAAAGAAATTATATAACAATTGAAAAAAATAGCGTGTAAGCGATTACATGATGCAATTGTGTGTTGGAATTGGCTTTCAGTATTTAGCAATATGACATTTTATATATGATCAATCAAAAATATGGAAGGTATATATATTACGGTAATATATAGGGCGTGGGGGGTGGTTAACGAAAACCGGGGGGGGGGGTGCTTAACGCTTCCCTTTTTTTAAATATTAACTACCATCTGAAAATATTCTAATTAACAGCTGTTAACTGTTAATTGAATGTAACAGGCTCACTCCGTTGCACAGGTACTTCTTGGAAATCAGCATTAGAAGATAGACGCTTATCTCCGCGCTGACGGGACGCTCAGATTTTATCAAGTAAAAAAGGAGGTATGGTCATGCGAGGAAATGCTTGCGGCGATGCATATAAAGAACAGGTGGTATGTCATCATCGATAGTGGAGATGGAATAACAGCAGCATTGGTGCTAAAAGCAAATGCTTGGTTTACGAGAGCCGCATGATAAAGTGTCAGCAAAATTGAAGCATGTATGTGTGAACTAGGTTTTGAGCATAATACGAAGAATAGCGTTATTGGTACCCAGGTACCTAGAATGATTTCGTTAGCCAGTGTTTCATGAAGAAAGTAGCGTCGATACCTAGACTGGACAAGTTGGAGATTCTGTTGAGGCTGAAACCGAGTGTCGGTGAGATAAATTCGAAGAAATGACTGACATGGAGCTTGTTAAACAATCAAGTTTCAAAATTTAGCTCGACGAATGTCGAATTACAATGGCCTTGAAAGGACTCAAGTCCGGGTTTAGAGGCCGCTAATGATTATTTTCTTCGCTTTTCGAGATGTGGTTTTAAGCTTCGTGAACGGTTGTAAATGGATCATTTACACCAACACATTGATGACCCTACTGCACTGGTAATTGCTTCAGCAGCGGAAGTATCATCATTCCGAGTGCCGATGATCGTCTCGTCTGTTGAAAATGTATTTGCGTCCTCAACCGCGACACCCGTAGTGGAGCTTCTCATTCATCGTGATATTTTTACTATATTTGACGATGTCGACTCCTTTGCAAACTGCTCACGGCATAGCGATTGAGACAGTTTCTCACAGCATTTTCTCGGCGTGGTCGAACAAGTTGCTCTATCCACTCTACTATTCTCTGACACCAAGTGTTATAAAAAGATTGGATATCAGTTTGCCCCTCGTGTCTTGCTGACACTCATTGTCGAAAACGAATGTGATCTATGGCGCAAATCTTATCCTTGTAACCTTTCGAAGGCCACAAGACGGCATATGCGTATGTTGTACAACCACTGAATCGATGAAGGTGTCGGAAGTGATTTTCGCACCCTACCGCTCTTCCTGTTCCTAGTGTCACTTTAGCTCGCACTTTTTCCTGTAAATGTAGTGGCGCTATGCCGAACACTGGATCCAAACCTGCCGAATCTACCGTCGTTTTATCGACTCGGTGTTCGGCTCTTGTAATCGCAAAGCACACCGCAGACTACCGCGCGTCGTTGCAATAGTCAACGGGTGTCTGATGCAATTGCTTTATGTAGCAGTCCTCCCCTTACGAGGTGTTTATCATCTCCATCTCATAGAGACACTTGCTCCGTTCTCGCAGATCATTCGAAGGTGTACAAGTACGACGGGGTCGTATTTGAATCCGGCTACAGATTATGCTGTGGTGTGTGTCTTTCGTCTGCCGTCCAATTGCTTGTTGCGTCAGTTGAATTGTAGCGTATCGAATGGTGCTGTTAGCAGCTATCCCCTTTTAAAGGTTGGCGATGATGACATTTAGTCTTGATCCGGTGATATGAACGCACGCAAGCATATCTAAGGTAGGATAGTCATATTTCGTGGTGTAACTGTTTACCCTGAAGCGTCGTCGTTACGCCGTTGTTTAAGTTGATTAGTTAGGTCATGTCTCGCACGCTATCGCAACAACCAGCATACATCTCTTTCGCTTGGTCGCTGACCACGGTTTGCCTGACTGAGTCTAAACTCTTCGTGGTACTGCGTCTTAATCCAGCTGTATCGATGTTCTGCCACTATTAGTATTTCATGGGTGGCTACAACGCCGAAACACCGGGTCGCCACCATTGTGGCACATTGCAAAGGCCGGGACAGCCTAGGCTGCATTCACTCCCGGTCGTTACTACGGTCGTTGCTAACGGCTCACGTCCAGCATTACAAGGCGTGTGTTTTCGTGCTGCAAGAAGCACAAAAAACGCCAACCTGAGTCGTTTGATTACACTCGACGTCGATCGATGAGCTTGCTTCTTTCTCATTCTTCGACTCACCAACACATCCATAGCGTACACATCATCTTTACAGCTGCGTCCAAAATGAAGCTTTTCTTTTGCCTCGTGCTTGCTGCCGTCGCAGCTTCCCGCATCCACGGACGAGCTCAAGAACGTGCTGGAATTACTGACTCGGTGCTCCTCCCTGCAGTCCTCCCCTTAGTCCTTCCTGTACTCCTTCCAGCACTCCTAGGGATTCCAGACGCTACTTCCGGGGGGCCAACTGCCATATCGGAAACGCCTGAAGTATCAGGAATCACTGGACCGTTGCCGATTCCCGGAGCTTCCCCTGTTCCAGCTTTGCCGGTTGACCTACCAGGCGTCCCTGGATCTCCAGCTTTGCCAGTTGGACTACCAGGCATACCTGGTGCTACAGCTCTTCCTGCTGGGATCCCCACAAATTCGAACCTTCCGATTGGGGGGCTAATTTGATGCGATGCTAGCACAGGGCCTTGCTTGCAGATGAGGTCACAGTACTCCCGATTCTGGATCAGAAATTTGGCTAGGAGAATAGCTGGCATGTCTTCGTGTGTCAGTCAAATGCTATTTGCACCAGAGGCTTTAACCGCGAACCATGCGTGTGTAAGGGCGTTCGAAAGCTGCCAGCCAGGGTGTGAGCAATATGACAGGCTCGCAATATATAACACGGCATCAAATAAAATCCTTGCCTCTTTCCATAAACGCTCTTCGGATCTACAGACGTAATCCGAATTCAGTTCGCCCATGATAAGCTTCAGCAAAGGCGCCTCTCTTCTGACGCTCATTTCAACATTCAGACCATCAATATCTTTGTGTTCACCAAGAAGTTTTATCGGCATTGAAGGACATTGTGTCAGGGTCATAGTCATCGTTTTGCCAGTGTTTAGCGTTTTATCTGCCGTACCTGCACGCTTGCGCCGACCTGAAGCTACCCTGGCCAACCATAGTCTGTCAGGCCTCATTAATTCAAATAGTCAGCTCAACTCACATGTACCTCTTGAGAGGTTAATCTATGCGATTATAGCATCAGTACACGTGGCTGAAGGGACGATAGAGAGCGCAGAACGACATGGCTGCTCCAATTGATAGGCACAATGACACGGTGTGATAGCAACATCTGAGCGAATGACGCAAAGCAGTGTAGTACGCACTCATTAAACAAGCAGCATGCTCTACCGACGCCAAGTCATGTCCAGGTTAATGTCACTGAGGATGCTTACAGAATGGCGATGAAACGGATCGTTTGTATTGCTGCCACGTCATTCACGTAGTCTGATAGCGTGGATGTCTCTAGTCCACGCGATAAAGCGTCACGATGTACCGAACTGCTTTCGTTGAACGGCAGCGTCAGGACCCGATGATTCCGTACCAACCAGGTTGGTAAAACATGTTTCTGTTAAACGCCAATGTCGGACACGGCTTGAATGTCTAGCTTGACAGATTTCTGATGTTGCTGAGGTGAAAGACATCGAACCATGAATGAGGTCTTGACTCTCCTGCGAAAGCTATTTCATAGTCTCTCATACGTCCTGTAACTATAGCAGGAATGCGTGCTCGTTCATCAAACATGTACTGCAATCTCTGACCTGGAGAAGCCATTAGGATGACCACGGTAAGAATCGCTTCCTCTCTGCGCTTTGCCAAATTCAAGGCGAACCTCCGCGGCCTGTAAGACCCGCGACTGTACTAGCCACTGCATCTCCATTGCATCTTCCAATGAGCGCCAGGAGTCGCCTTCCCGAGGACCGTCTTGACATAAATCACCTGTAAGTCCGGCATCACTCGTTGCAATCTAAAGTGCCTCAACTGTCAACTTGCGCTGCATATTTTTCACACGCCCTTGTGCATTCCACACGCTAAAGGAACGCTCCATTGCACCTCTGCTGCACGCTCGTCCGTACCAAGCGACAGCGGACCACACGCTTATTCCTCTGCGACCTTTGCAGCTTAATAAAACCCACAAACAGCTCGTGTCCAATGATCTTCGCAGCCACTGGCAGGTGGCTCCTACGCGTATCTCTATACCTGCTGCTTTTCATCCCCCGCGTGGTGTAAGTTCTCGCTTCGTTAGCACCCCCTAGGACATCACCATCTTCATCACGCGTTCTCCCTCTCTAACTACTTTGCACCGTGCCTTGTCTTGTCTAGTCTCACACTCAATTTAGCGTACAACCCGTTCGTCATCTTCACGCGAAAAGCTCTTGAACACATCCATTCGACGCTCCAAAGGACCATCCCCAACACCTTCAATAACAATAACAACAACTCCAGTAGTGCTATGGACAGCAGTGAACACATGCGGTGGCTGCAGCCTGGCGAGCGCAATGGAGAGCGCGTGGCGATTGCGAGCTACCCTCGTTGCGGGAATTCCCTCATGCGTGGACTATTGGAGAAAGTCACGGGTATCTACACGGGTTGTGACACGCGACCGGATCGGGTGCTGAGCAAAGAGCTCCAAGAGTACGGTATGAAGGGTGAGGGGGTCGTGGATGACTCGGTCTGGTTTGTCAAGACGCACTTCCCTGAACGTGTGGGCTACAAGGAGTTCCCCGTCCACAAGGTCATTCTTGTCGTGCGTAACCCGTGGGACGCCATTGACTCGTACTTCAACATGACGCTCACGAACACGCACAACAAGAGCTTGCACGAGTCGCAGTACGAGCGCTTTGCAGATCGATGGGACCGGCTTCTGCGCAACGAGATTGACGTCTGGATGAAGTTTTATCGGTACTGGACCACGACCGCAGATATTCCAGTCATTGTCGTGCGCTACGAGAACCTCTTGATGCATCGGGAGGAGACGCTGCGCCGCGTGTTCCTCTTTCTCACAGGCAAACCGACGTTACAAGGCACGGACTGGGAAAAGCGGATTCGGGATGTGGTATCGACTAGTGGCGACGAAGCTGGGCCGTACAAGCCTCGTAGTGGCAAGATTGGCGGGTCATTCCGTCACTTTTCCGAAGACCAGTTCCAGTACATCTGGAAGACGGCGAAGCTGCCGCTGCGTGGGTTTGGCTATGACCCCGTGACGCAAAAGTTTCCCGACGACATTCGGCTTCCGAAGCGACAGGTGAAGCAAGGCAAGGAAGGGGCAACACTGCTCATCTCAATCGATCAGGACATGGAAATTCGCAAGAAGAACGATTCGTTTGGACGCGGCTCCACTTACTTTCGCCGAGGTCTAACCGAAGCTGTTATTGCAAGCGATGGCACGGAACTGAACATGGAGGAGGTGCTTGCGGCAAGGGGGCGCTTGCAAGCACAGAAGAAAGTGGTCGACGATCTGAGCGAGCAGACGGAAAAGCTTCAGCAGTTGAGCGTGAGAGATGCCGAAATAAACGTACAATAGCTTGAGCATGGGTGCTGGCTCGATAGCAAAAGAATGCGTGATGAGTGTATTTCGTCAAGGTGGCATTGAAGCCGGTATCGAATGATGAAACAGAGGAAGGCTTGCTGTTTTTAACTAGCAATGGCTACCTGCGCGTTCATACTTGGCCAAAAGTCCCGCTCCTCACGACGTTGCAATAGGCTTGAGCGCATTTTCAATGCGGCGGACTGTCGATTGTAGCTTTAGCTTAAACGGTGCATCCTCGCACTCGACGTCCTGTGAGGCGTGATCGACTACGGCATCAATGCCGCTAGGAGTTCGTACATGAATCTTGTTCGTTTCAAAGTCCAAATCAACATCGCCATATTGATCCTTCAAAAGTCGGAACAAAACGAGCAAGTTCAGCGCATCTTGGTCTGCCTCACCTAGTTCCCGCACAGCCTTTTCCAGCTCTGGCTTCATATCATCCTTTTCAACCAGCAGCTCTGGCTTCGTATCCTCCTTTTCAACCGGTAGCTCTGGCTTTGTGTCCTCCGTTTCAACCGGCAGCTCTGGCTTTGTGTCCTCCGTTTCAGCTAAAAGCTCTGGCCTTGTATTCTCTTTCTTGACCAGCAGTTCTAGCGCAGACTCGTCAGTACTATCCGTGCTTTTTTTCACAGGACTTCGCTCTTGTTCATCTGTTGAGACATCACCCACGACGTGCACAGCGTCATCACAGACATCGTTCTTGCCATTCACATCGTCCATACAACCGTCGCTCTTCTTGGAGTGATCGTGCGGGCAGGCAGCGACAGGCTGGCCACTCAGCTTGAAACTTGCCGGGCTTGCTTGTGCATGCATAGCAAGCGCAATGACCGAGTCTGCAATCATGTCGGCAGTCGGCGCAGACGTCCATTCCACGACAAGTTTCTCGGTGACACCTGTGGTACCGGCACATCGGGTCACGACCACTTGCTTGCAGACCACCACACGGTTTTCTTCCTCTACGTGCACGACGTCCTCGTACATCTGACGAATAAAAGTGATTAGCACACCGAAAGAGTTATACTCGAATGGCACGTGCTGCTTTTGTGCAATGCTGCTAGATATGAGCTTTGTATACGTCGAGAGATCCGCTTTATCCATCAAGTGCGTCTGCGAGTCGACCTCTACCAAGAGGCCGGAAATCACCTTGCCATTCTTCGGCTGATCGCTCGCCAAGCCTCCAATAGCCTTAGCAATTTTTTCACCCTTGAACTCGAGCACAATCTCCTGCATATTGGCTGGCGTAAAGATGCTTGGATGGTAAATCTTAGGATCGTTGAACTTCTTGTTTAATGCCGACTTGAGACGCATCATCTCATTCTTTTCACCATGCACAAGCACAATGTTGGGTGGCGTGAGCTTCTCAACGAAGCCGCTTGTGCCCACAAAGTCTGCGTGTGCCGAAAACGAGATGTACTCGACGGTACAGTTCATAGGAATGATGCGTCCATCTAACGCAGCAATCTCCGTCGGCTCCGAAAGAATTTTCTTTGCTAGCGTGCCCTCGACCACATAACCAGGAATTAGACAAGCGTTACGCTTGTCTGAGCACCAACGCTCGAACAGCTGTCGCGAGACACCGCTTTGCAGCATACCAGGACTCGCCATCACGACAGAAGGACCAGAGTCATCAAAATCTTCCATGCTCTTTAGATTCGAGATATGCTCGAACTGAAATGGGTTCGAAATCGCAATCTGTTTGCGGATGCGGTCGTTCATCATGTTAATATATGTCTGGTACACACGCAGAGCCTTTGCAGCCAGCTTGGACGCAAAGTAGATGGGAATATCCTGCAGATCCGGGTGCAACCGCCAGTGCTCATCAAGAATCAGGAGCAGTTCCTGTGTGCGACCAAGAGCAAAGACTGGGATCAAACAGCGTCCACCACGACGTACAACTGCCTCCACTTGTCCCGTAAACCGTCCCTCACGTTCAACAACCGACTGATGCACTTGCACGCCGTAGGTCGACTCCACAATGAGCACGTCGGGCGAGCAAGCGGGCAGTTCAGCTGCCATGAGATGACGGTCGTTCTCCAACGAGTAGTCACCGGTGTAAAGCACCTTTACCCCTCCAATCTCCACGAGATACATGCAGGCACCCAGCACGTGGCCGGCATTATAAGGTGTGAATTTAATCCCATTGTGCATCATTTCTTGATGAAAATCAATGATCTCCACTTTGGCCACGCAGTTATTCAAATCCTTATCGTCATAAATCTGGTCATCCACTGAAATGTTCGACACGCGCAGAAAGTCGCGCAGCATCATCTGCATCACCGCTTTCGTCGGGTGGGTCATAAACACGCGACCCTTAAAGTTCGTTTTTTCCGTAAAGTGCGGTAATGCAGCCACATGGTCAATGTGAAAGTGCGTGATCAGCAGCAGATCGATCTCTTCGGCCTCCACGCCGTCGAAAAACGGCAAACTCCCGTGGCCCGAGTAGCCTGGATGGACGCCGCAGTCGAGCATGATGGTCTTCCCCTTGAACTTGAGCACGATGCACGAGCGTCCGACCTCGTTGCCGGCGCCGAGCGGCATGATGCGCATGATGTGACGCTCGTCTGCGGCCTCTTCGGCCAGTCGACGCTTGGACATGGCTGGCTTCGGGGACAAATGAGAGAGAGAGAGAGAGAGAGAGAGAGAGGGAGACTGAGAAAGTAGATGCGGGTTTGCGAAAATAAGGTTCTTCTTAAATTGAATAGAGTTTGCGGGCTGTCAACGCCTGGTCTATAACGTTAGGTCCAGGATGGTGTCCCCTTATTTTGACAATGTGCTCTCGCTTGGTTAAGTACTCACTGTATTTCTGTCTGAGTTACAGTCTCGATTAAAATACGGAAGAACAAGCACTTATTTACCGCAACCTACTTGCTTCAACCCTGGTAATTTTACCCAAGTAATTAGCAAATACCCAAATTAGGACTGAAATAGTAATAACGCGGTCTCCACTACCCTTGTTTGGATTTTTTGTTATTATTAGTTCAAATTTCCTTTTAGTTATTCTTTTGGAAGTTGCGTTTGATGTCATTCTTCCCTAAAATAACGACTACGCACCCTTCTTCTTTTATTTATCCTTTCGTTTTCTCGTGTTTAACGTATTGTTTTTGCTGTAATCAGCGACAGCCTTAATAAATATATAGACCCGAATACGGGAGACAAGGCAAGCGGGACAACAAGAGACAAGGCTAAAAGACAAGTCCATCGGAACAAGTTTAACGGGACAAGGCTAATAAGAGACGGCTAACGAGTCAAGCCTAAGACTTTAAGGTCAGTATAACGGGGTGCCTTCGTCATATGATACTTAACGCATAATTATTATTAAGTATAAAGGTTTGAGTAGAGCAAACACAACATTTTCACAACATTATCCTTATCGATAATATTGCTTCGCAGATGTGACACACTGCTCAATGGTTGTTATAAGATTTAGAATATCAACCAAAAAAAGTCTATCAACGATAGATGCACGCAGTGATTGGTGAGCAGATAGTTACAATACGTGTTTGTATTTAGTCATAGTTTAATGAAGTCAAAAAGGAATTTATTAATAGGGACTAACTAGACTAAATACAGTTCTCCTTTCATCTTAACCGAGTACTTTTACTTCGTTTGGTAATTATCCTCTGCACGTACGTGTACGTAAGGTTGTTGGACGCACACTCCCTTGCACTGTCAGAAGCGTAAGGTCAATTCAGTCAGCTGATAAGGTGTGCCCCGATACACCTGATAGCACTTTGTAGTCTGTTTAACGACCATGAACATGTTGTACGATAAGGAAGATACTTTAATATCACGCATTAAAGCTACTCCCATTCAAGATAAGTTAAATGCGATGCCATCGAACGTTTGAGTTTGATAGGGCAAGAAGTCGTCGGCGCAATGCTGTCCGCCCTGGGGCCAGATGGGCAGCACACCACCACTGCCAACTTCATTTGGAATGAATTTGACACTGAACGGAATACGGTAGCCTTGCTTCACTAATAAGAGTATCAAAAAATTGAGCTGTTGAGAAAAAGAGCGCTCGACAGTTGGAGCTGTTAAAACAGCAACATGCTGCTAGTGCCTGGTTGACGCACACGCGTCGAACCAAATCACTGAGCATTGACATCTACGAATACAAAGCAGCCAATGATGACTCTCTGTTGCGTCGGTTTGTTGAATTGGATGACGACATGAAGACTCGACAAATCGTCGATGCTAAGGGCGACCTGCATTTTCTCAATCGAAGTTGACAGGGCGTGCAAAGACTTGGTCCTTGGGCCTCAAGGTTCACGAACCAAATGCCTTTGGGTTGTTAGACTCTCTAAGTCCAATTTTGGCAAACATATTAACCGTTGCGAGCTGAGTTCAGGGCTCAATCTATAATCCTGACACTCAAACAGGAAAAACGTGATGTACACTCATACATTCAGTACATACGTCATCTTACGTGTTGCGATACACTAAATCCGCCGAATAAACAAAAAAAATGATTACGTTATTCATGCGGGGTCTCGTGGATTGTTCAGTTTGACCTACCAATTTTGATTGTAATTCGATACCCTGAAGAGGCATCAATTGTTGCAGAGCAGAAAGGTTCAGGGTAAAACAAACTCACGTGAAATCAGATTGCTATCGCTCCCCAAGGCGAAAGAAATGGAGGCCCAGAACCTATGGACATCTGTTACGCTGAGAGTAAAAATCTCGCGTTACCAATTATAAGAAATTACATTGATGCAATAGATGTCAAAAGAATGGGCATCATGCATACGAATGCAGTGCCTCGAGCGCCGTGCCACGTACTGCAGAAAACGGTTATCGTCAAGCAGCCAAGAAAGGTCCAAAGCGTGGGGGATGACGCCGCTGCAAGAACGCAACATCTTATTCCACATTGAAGAAGGGAATGCAAAAAAACTTACTGACTTATCAATTTCAAGTACATTTGAGGGTCGCTTGACGAGAATTGCTCCTAACACGCAATAATTATTTGTAACTGCTTCTCGTAATGATTTTCCTTCATTACCTTTAAACATTTGAAGTGGCATAGGACGTGTCACGTCGGCCCTAGCTGGTTGTTAGGCTTCTAACAACATTGTCCGTAGCAGGTTTCTAGATGTCAGCAAGCTCATTTATATTTAGCGCGAGATCCTATAAACGAGGATGACGGTGCGCCTCGAGACGAGCGCATCCGTAATAGTGATGAGACGCTAGCGGAAATTACACGTACACTAAAATTAAATCAAAATGACGATGACCTCACTATATTGGACTAAATCACAAGTTTGATGTAATACTTGGATTTATGTGGCATAGAAGATACGAGCCATGGGTCAGCCGGCATAGAAGAAGGATCTGTATGCCTGCCGCTTGTTCACAAGACATCCATCTGATAAGCGTCCATGGAGCGCCCACCACCGCATGTGGAATGTTGTTGGTTTCCGTTTAAAGATCGATAGCGCTGGCAACGAACAAGGTTTGGAATATTGTTTTCCGTCCTCACAACGTCAGACCCCTACCAAACCGAAAAAAATAAACAATCCCCCCCCGTAAATAGTGACATCGATAAAATGAAGGCAGACTTATGGGTCGCGGTGCTTTGCAGATGAGGGGCAAAAGTCACATGTCAACGTACTTGTCTGTCATTGCTATGGCCAGTAGTCGCATCACTTCGTAGCTATAAATTTATATCGCGTACAAGTAATTAATGGCGACGTTCCTAGTGCTAATGTCAAGGCATCACTCGAAGAATACAACATAAGTTTGGCTCCATATTCCGCCCGGTATGGATATTAACAATGCACACTCAAAGCTTTGGTATTAGCAGTGTCAAGAAGGTTGCGCTGGAGCTGTAACGTGGCATTTATGGACTCAAGAAGGCTGAATGCCTTTGGACCGAGTTACTAGTGTCCACTCTGCTCAATATTAGTTTCAAACAATTCTTCACAGATTATTGTGTCTTCTACAAAGTGAATGTAAGCGAGATGATGCTATAAGGCGTATAATTGGATGACATCATCGTCTAGTGTACAAACCAACGATGTGGTGGACCTATTCTTTAGAAATATGTACGTAATTGATCTAGAAGACCTTGGTGCATTGACAACAACACAATATGCCGCTATCAACAAGTTCCTACAAGAGAAAATTGCTGTCTACAGATAGAAGATAGCCTAACTTCTTATTAATTCTCTCATTAGTCTATGGGCTGACCGAAGCACACGCGTCGACCGGAAAGTCTTGAAGATAGGTGTATCAAGTTACCAGGGAACAGATCAAGATTCTCTTTTGAGACGGTGCGTCAAATTAGACGACGCCATAAGGGTCCATCACATCGAGGGTGACTAGATGCAAGTCACCTTCGCCCTATAAGATTTGACAGGACAAGCAAAGCCTTCGGCCTTACGGCTCATGCTTCACCACCCAAACATGTTTGAGTCGTTAGAGACGACTCGAACGTCGTGAACTCGGCTCTTTGCCGCTTAAAGAGACGATTGAGCCGCCAAGAGCCAAGTTCAGAGCATGTTCTGTACTCCTGAGGCTCAAACAAGGTAAGCGTGACGTGCACGCTTACGCACACCATCTGCGCTACCTTGCGAGTAGCGTTATGGTGAACCCTGTTGATGAGCACACACTCAGTAACGTGTTCATCTACGGTCTTGTGGATGGGCCGATGAAGACCTACAGGTTCTGAGAGGACTTTTATACGCTGGAAAAGGCGATAGCGTATGCGGAACAAGAAGACTTCATCCTGAGACAGTCTCAGGCTAACTCGTCTAATTATCGTCCGACGAGGCGACAGGAAACGGGAGGTCCCGAACCAACGGACCTCTGTTACATCGAGAGCGAGAACTCTCGCTCTATGAGTCACAAGCAAACGGCAAGATGCCATCGCTGTCAGAAATTTGGGCACTACGCGCACGAGTGTAGTGTACCGAGCACTGCATCACGTCCAAAGACAGGACGTGATGACCGCCTTTGGCCAAGGAAGGGTCCGAGGCGTGGGAAGGATAATGTCGCCAAGCCGCGACAGCAAGTCGGACCGTAAAAAAACGGTCAGATTCAGTAGGGGCGGAGCACCCTGCTGAATCAGCAACGTCAAGAGAATTTGCAGGACCCTTGACGAAGATTGCTCCCAACATGCAGTCTCTATATGTTACTGCCTCTAGTGATGAGGAGTCTGTCATCCCATTGAAGATCGAAGTGACAAGTGGAGTGTCACTTCGCGCCCTTGTTGACTGTGGTGCGTCGAACACTTTTATTCGACACCAGTCGCTAGAGAATAGAAAGAATGGCCTCAACTATGTTGAGGGAGAGTTCCCTTCAACTTGGATGACGGTGTGCCTTGCTACAGGCGCATCCGTAACAGTGGACAAACGTGTAGTGGGATCCACTAGACGCTTAAAGTAAATCAGTACGATGATGGCTTTGTTGCATTGGATTTAGATGACAAATTCGATGTTATTCTTGGTCTGCCATGGCTTAGAAAGTACCGGCCATGGGTTAGCTGGCAGCATCGATTCGTGAAGATGCCTGCCGTTTGTTCATCGGATGGCCATTTGATGAAAGTCTTGGAGCGTTCACAAGCGTGGATGTACTACTAGTGAGTGCGATGGCCTCACTTGTCGTACGGTCGTTAGTATGACTGCACGAGATCACAGTGTAGAAGGCCACTACACTGTGAAACCAGCTTCCGGCACCTCTGTAGATACACAGGCTGCGCCGAAGGTTCACCACTCGAAGAAATCGAGTGGACTGGATGCACCCTTCTTGGTATGCATCCGTAAAGAGAAATTAGTGTTGTTCAGGATGAACAACACGTTGAAGCGAGATCGACTATCAGAGAGTCGATCGTAGAGCAAGCCTGATCGACTATCATAGATTCGATCGAAGAACGTGACTGTGGTAACACACCCACGGTCAGTGCACGCAACGGAAGAAAGTTCCAGCGTTCCTGGGAGTGATAACTCTCGAGAGAGCTATGTTGAGGGTGTGGATCCCCAACCACCTGCGGATTTGTTTTCCTAGGAAATCACCGAGACAGTGAATGTCTTGGTGAATGACGGATCAAGTGTAGGCGCTTATACACTTGATCTGGTTACGCCCCCGAAGTCAGCTTCGGAGGTGATCAAGTTGTAAACGCTAATATCTACTAGATCCTTGCGAGATCTGCGTAGTGACAAAATCAAGCAGATCTGCGTACTCAACTCAGAGGACGAATACGTCGCCAATATTCGGTCAGCACAAGTGTTTGCTGAGAACGAACGGGTTCTCAGTATCTCCTCGATGGACGAGAGTGTCCTTGATGAGAAGACTCGGATTGAGCGATACACGTCTCAATCTTGGGAGTCATATGACATAATCCTTTGTACATGGATTTAATCGAATTCAGGGATGTTTCCCTGAATCCGTGTCATACGATCTGCCCAAGGATAGAGGCAGTCGATATGAGATTTAACTGAAACCCGGTTCGAAATACTGTGTCACGAAGCAGTGGCCACTGCCTCGTGAACAGGTCACAGCGATCGACAAATTCTTTGCCGATCGTTTAGCGGCTGGTCATGTGAGGGAATTAACATCCCCACACAGCTCTCCGGACTTCTGTGTGCGAAGGGCCACAATAGGGTGGTGGATAGTGCACGCGTTCAACAAATTGAACGCTGCAACGATACCGTCAGGACGCAGGTAAGAAGGAAGGACGTCATCATTGATGGTATGGCGGAAAGTAACATCTTTTCGTCCATGGACCTGATGGATAGATTCTTTCAGATCCTCATGCGTGAACGGTGCATTCCGTACACAGCAGTAAGCACCCCCAGTAGTATGCTCTGGGAGTGGCTAGTGATATTACAGGGGCTAAATAATCCCCTGCAACGTTTAACATACGTGTTACAAATCTGTTGCGATTGGTGCGCCATTTTGCACCGAGTTACTTCGACGATGTCTTCGTCCATAGCCGGGATATGGATGGAAAAACGGAGGTGGAGGTTCATAAAATTCACGTCCGGAAAATTCTTACTCTAATGCAAGAGCATAAGTTGTTTGCGAACCTCAAGAAGTGTATATTCGCAGCGAACGGGATACCATTTCTTGGCTGCATCGTGAATAAAAACGGTGTACGCCCTGATCTGAAATAGATCAAGGCGATTGCGACTGGCCTGTGCCACTCGAAGTCAAGGGACTCCGAAAGTTCCTTGGCTTGGCGGCGTACTTGCACAAGTACTTGCGCAACTACGCCGAGATGACCGTACATCTCTCTCGTCTGTTAAAGAAAAACGAGAGGTGGTCATGGAGCGCTGAGTGTCAGCACTCTATTGGAGGTATCATAAAAAGCTTGATACAATCGCCTGTGTTGGCGATTGTAGACCAGGAAATACCATTCCATGTGGTCTGTGACGCCAGCGATTTTCGAATCGGCTGCGCGTTAGTGCAGTACGACTCAGACGGCCTTGAGCGCGTTGTCTGTTATCAATCGCGTCAGCTGCAAGCAGCTGAGCGTAATTACCCAGTGCATGACAAGGAACTCCTTGCCATGCAATATGCACTGGCTAATTTTCGGGTATATCTCTTTGTAGATAGACTCTTCATCGTTTATACCGACCATGCGTCGTTACGCACGGCCGTGAACATTCCACACCTCTCGCAACGAATGGCAAGTGGTTGTATTTCTTCTCGGAGTACAACTTCTCCATCGAGCATAAACCAGAACGACTTAATGTCTTCGCTGATGCTCTTTCGCGTCGGCCCGATTTCGAGCCGACTGCTAAACCCAACAGTTGGGGTGATCCCACTGTTGCAACACTAACAGTGAGTGTTCCGTCGTCGAACCTACTCGACGACGTGCAAAGAGCATATGCAGAAGATGGGTATCTTCTGCGATTGAAGGATTATGTTGCCAATCCATGCTGTAAAGCTTTGAAAAGCTTGAAGTCTCAATACCGCTCTTCTACCGAACAGTATTCTGTACCTGATGGACTGCTGTACTATACAGCAGCCACCGGCGACACGCCTCGTGTCGCCGTTCCCGCTGATGATGATTTGCGATTACGCATCATGTATGAGTGTCAAGATGCCCCACCAAGTGGGCACCGGGGTAGGGAAAAGACTTACCTCACGGTGAGTCGTGACTTTTACTGGCCGCACCAGTATGGATTGTGCGCAAATACATTCGCGTTTGCGAGGTTTGCCAACGGGTGAAGCCTAGTCCTTAGTCCCACGCACCCTTGCAGCCTCTTCAGATTCCGGCAGAGTGTTGGAAGTCTGAATAGCTGGACTTTGTGGTGAACCGAGTTTTCGAAACTGTTGGACTTTAGGGACGAGGAGCCGGATGGACATGAGACCTCGCGGGCGGGAAAGGGACCGAATGCCTGGAGGTGACAAGGCGAGAGAGGTCGTTGGTTCCAACTGTGATGAGTGGTTAAGGTTACCACTAACGGGGTCATACCGATCGACGGTACCAGTTGAACAGTACCGATATGGATCGTTCTCAAACACCCGTCGGTCGGCCTGGTCGCACACATGGACCTCAGTCCCCAGTAGGCCGACCCGGCCACCCATCGGTCGGCCTAGTCGCCCAAGACGGGCCTCGGTCAACCGCAGGCCGACCTGGTCACCCATAGGTCGATTTGGCCCCTCAAGGTCTGGTTGCTCCTGACACTCATCATAGCAATCGCAGGTGCAAGGAAACGATAGAGTAAAGGAGTTTGAAGGATAGGTCAGTACTTGATATTACTTAATTTGCGATCCAAGTAGCACGAAGTGTTGTGCGCTAAGAAACTTGTAAGTTAACCGACCTGTTCCGGGCCAGGGATCTGTTTGACCCACATCTCAAATAGACAGCTGTCAGTAAGACCCAAGTGAAAATAGAAACCATCAAGTATATTGGCCTGTGAGTTCGTAGATTAGTACCCCCCAACTCATGCCCGCTACATAGAGCGATCTCCATACACCAGTGGTAAGGGGGAAGACACGTAAAGGCCAGGCGGTAAACACCCCCGGGACAAGTAAAGGCCAGGCGTCACCAGCACCTGAGATAACTGGTTATAATACCACTCTCGACCAAGTCGATCGAGTGGCCGCCTACACTGGACCCCTACTGAAGCACATCCGCTCGCCCCCCCCCCCGGATCGACCTCTATCAAGGAGGACGTCTACTATCAACACCAAGTCCTTTAAAAAAATTAACGCCGCCAAGCCGACAGGTACACAAGGTGAGTCAAGATCCACATCGGGGTACCCCCACCGACAGTCGGCAGTCCGGCACAGTGAGTGGTTTGGGGTCTCATCAGAAAAATTCGACAGCCCACTCTACCATATCTTCGTCCTTGGGTTTCCCAAAGACACTCACAAAAACACTGGTGTTTTTGTGTTTGATGATCGGTTAAGCAAGATGTCACATCTTGTTGCTTTACCGGAGTCAATCACATACGAGGCTGTGCTTGTGTTTTCATCGGTACTATCTTCCGGCTTCACGGGTTACCCCGTGAACTCGTGTCTGACAGGGACCCCCGCATCATAGCGGAGTTCTGGCAATCCGTGTTCCGTTCACTTAAAATACGTTTAAAGATGTCGACTTCTGACGAATTAGAAACAGATGGTCAGACGGAACGCGTCAACCGCGTCCTCGAAGAGATACTTCGAGGGTATGTCCACTCGTTTACGAGCTGGAGTGATTTCTTGCCTTTGGCGGAATTCGCCATCAGCAACTCGGTGCACGCGTCTACAACACATACACCTTTCTTCGTGAATGGCCTACGCCATCCACGTTTACCCGCCTTCTTAGAGTGTGACTCTTGTTTAGGGGGGGGTGTAATCGCTCGAACTAAACCCGATCTGGTTCTTGTTCATCACCCGTCGACAATGGCGTCGACGTGATGGATGCCGATGTCGATGCGATCGATGTCGTTGATGACGATGACGAAGACGCTGGCATATTCAGCATCTCAAATGACCGCCAAAGTGAGGACGACGACACCATCACTGTTGAAAACAATGTTCTTTCAGCGGTGCACACGAAGCTCACTGCTGTTGACAAGGATGTATCAGCAGAGGAATTCATGCTGACTCGCGAAGCGGTTGTCCGCTTCGTTCAAGAACCTACTGCAGATGCACAAGACGGACAGAAGAGAAATGCAGACAAACATGGAAGAGCAAATGTTCTTTCATTTGATAAAGGAGACCTAGTTTTACTGTCTTAAGTAAACTTACCGAAACACGCAGTGACAAACGTGGGCAGCAGTAAATCCTGCCCATGTACATCGGTCCTTTCGTGTGTAGCGCTGGATGGGCAACACATACACGATTATACTGCCCCGTTAAGCGCGTACACATCCTACGTTTTTCGTCGGTCGTCTCCGCCCGTACTATCAGTACGAGCCCGTTTCGAGATGCGAAGAACACCTCCGCGGTCGAGAGCCGAGACGACCTTCAAGTGGTCTCGTTTCAACGGGAAAGTCTGTTCGAATAGCGAAGCGACCTGCTCACGCAGTTGAGCGATGTCCTGACGAGCTGCAGTCAGCTCTTCACGAAATGAACGAATCGAACTTTCGTTTTTAAGTTGACGAACGCAAACGCGGCACGATCGTCCGAACGATCGTGCGCTAGGAAATAGTAATTATCCTTTACGAGGTAATGGAGCTCATAACGCTGAGTTCGTTCGTGAACCAATTCATCGTTTAACTGAATGGTAACACGGTTCAGTTCGTGAACTTCAATCTGATCCGACCATCGAGCCGAATCAGGATTCCTGCCGCCATTACATCCTTTGTTGGATTTTCCCGGTCGTCAACGCTTTCTGGTCGAGCGTATATTGAACTACCGCAACGTGAATGGCGTCAGGAAGACTTACCTCGTCCACTGGCGTCGCTATTTCATTAACCTAGGACATCTGAGAGCCTTTTGCCCAGCTTATTGTTGATGTTCTGGGTCTTGTCGAGCAATAAAGCGATACCAACCCGCTGCGTTCGAAGAAGGGCCGTCGGAAAACGACCTCCCCGAACGCGAGTACATGTATTGTAAGGTGTCAATTCCTTCGGCCATTTTAGAAGATTTTCGCGCCCTCCAGTAGGGAGCATTAGTGAGTTAGGCCTCCCTAGCGGCACGATTAGCTTTTTCCAGGCAGCCTGGACATGGATCGCCACACGAGACAGTTTAACCCTGCCTTTCGTGACAGTCGGTGCAACTGTATCGCGCCCCGACTGGGTTGCGTTTCTTATACCTGATCAAGCTTCATCAAGTTTGCCGAGCTAGGCCTCACGTCCAATGCACTAGATGTCAGGGATGAAGGTATTCCATCCCTGCACCGAGGCATTACCGTCGCGGCCACGGTTGCCATTGCACCACCGAATTAAAAAAATCTATAGAGAATTATGTTTCAGCAAGAATAGTTCCCATGCTGTAATTAGGAGAATAGATCCTCCTACAGTCGAATAACGGAATTTGATCCCGTTCGTTGATCATACCGGCCACCCGATCCAACCGCCTTGGATGATGGCTCCCAAAGAGACTCCACTTGAGTACCATGGCGCAGGACCTTGCAATCCTTGGCCTCTGACTGGTGTCAGCATGAGCATTAGAACCAGTAGCAGCTCGATCCTCAAGTTTGTTCGCTTGTGGTGACGTATAGGTGCATCACCACCATCACCACACGTCTTAGTGTTCGATGGACTTGCGTGAGACGAGGATTCGTCAGACGAATCGCTCGGTCCGAAGATCTAGGACAAGATAGCGCCATGTTCCCCGGAGCCAGGTTTTCTGGCTCTAGACGTGTCCGCCCCAGATGATTCGGAGGCGTGAGGTGTCGCTTTCGAGTCTGATAGATCATCCGCCCCGCCAGAACAGATGAGCTCTATTTCAGGCTCATCCACATTGCGAGTCGCAACACCCTCTGCGTCTGCAGTATATGTGTCGGTCGCACGTGGTGACTACCACGTGGACTAGTCGCAACAGGCACCGCCTGTTGCTGAATCGCAACAGCAGGTGAACGATCACCTACTGCTGAAGCAAAAGAAGTACTTTTTTCGGCTGAATGCATGCGTGCAACCGCCCTTCTGACTGCATCAGCAGCACATCACATGGACTTGGACACCATGCGATAAGTTAGAAAATAAGTTGTAATGTTAACTAACTAGTGCTCCTCTTTCCAGAGTGATCTAACGGTGATCACCCTGTCCCCACTCATTTAAATTTAATTAACAGGTAATTGATAATTGGGGGGGTGATGTAACGGGGTAGCCCGTTACAAGATATTGACACCAAACGGTGTCCATAGCGAGATCGTCCAGAGTGACAATCTCCTGCCAAAATCACCCGAGATGGATAAGCCTGAAGGAATACTATCCCCTTGTAGGATAATATCCATGCGCTGCTCAACGATTTGTTGATAAAAGACATATCAACCAAGATTATCACCAATTGCCGCTAGACGCGCGTAATAATTGGTGAGCAGGTGGTCATCTTACGACAATAGAGATTAATGCGGTTAGTTAATGATCGAAGTTATAATGATAGCTTGACTATATTAAATACAGTTCTCTTTTTACCTTTTACTAAAACTAGCAATTTGAGTAGAATAGCTCATTTTGCACATGCGAGTGCACGTGAAGTTTCGTGGCACCCCAAACAAAGGGTGCCCCGTTACAATTTCGATTTGTGACTTTTCTGGTTTCTACAGGACTTCGTGCTATACCGCCGAAACATTCATTCTGCTTCAAGTACTTAAAAGAGCAACATGATTTTTTGCAGACGCGTCTGTAACCAATTGCAAGAAGTCCTGCTGCAAGTGGTAAGCGCCTGATAGCACAAATTGGATAGCCAGGTTGAATGCTAAATATGTAAAACCCACTGTTGATCGTCCGTCATAATTTGTGTATGCTCACTTTTTAGAGGTCCGTCGCATCAGGCGTGTGATGCCCTTTGCAGTGGAAGCTAGTAGTTATATATTCTATAATCCACTATCGGATTTATGAAAAGGGTGCCATGTCCGAGATCATACCGCAGAGAATACATTCAGGCAATGGAGAATCCATCATTCATCTGGCAAGCGGCCATTCAAGATATGATTGGCTGTGGCCCCTTCAAGACCGAGTTGTGCAACTAGAACCGATACTTATATTACCTCTTTGGATGAAGGGCTCTGTCTTACATTTTACAACCATGTACACGCTGTCAACAATCAACTCCTTGCCACGACCTCCCGCAAAGCGTCGCACATCGCACGAGTTGTTTACACATTACTAGGTACAAATCCAGCAGCAGTGCGCTGCCCTCAATAGCTGCTGGCATTGAAGTGGTCGGCCATCATGACCTTGGCCCAGGCCGATGCAAAGACCTTCTTGAACAATGCCTCGTCGTTGGCAAACCGTTCCACGGCCATCTTAAGCTCAGGCGCGTACAACAGTGCTACATCCGTCGACATCATGTAAACTTCCTTGCTTTCAGCCCTGAACTCGTTCGAGCCCTCCTGGTTCCACTTCTCGTTCAGCAGAATCTTGAAGTACTCGTTCGAGAAAGTGACTGAGGTTTCAGAGTACGAGCCGCTGTAGCCAAGTACCTTCTGCTGCTCGACACTGCGCGGTCGTCCAGCCAGAGCGACGGCCTCTTCCGGTGACACACCTAAGATCTTGATATTGTCGAGCACACTGGCCACAACCGAAGGGTAGTAGTCACGCGGGACTAGAATCTCATCCCCCTTGCCACTCTGACCGTCCGTGCGACCACCCAGGAAGTCGATTTTCACGTCTCCACTGTCTTCTAGTGCTACTTGTCCTGCCAGCACAATCAGATCAGCAGTCGAGAGCGTCGCGTACTTTGCCTTGATCGGCTGTAGCGCAGCAATGATCTTGTCAACGCCAGCGTTCACAGGCCAGTCTTTCTGCGGCGAGAATCGGATCTTGGCGCCGTTGCAGCCACCAGCGTAGTCAGTGACACGAAACGATGATGCACACTGCCATGCTGCATGCACAAACAAAGCACCGTTATACGGCGTTCCATCGCTGGTCAAGTCGCTCGGTAGACCGTCAACCGACTTCTTCAGCAGATCACGAACGTCACAACGCACAGCGCTGAAATCCGGCAAAGTTGCAGGTGTCGGCGGAAGTGGGTTTTGGAACGGCTGCGCAGGGGGCACGTCGTTGCCACGGCATCGAGCCACGGGACCCATATCACGTGACGTCAACTTGTACCAGGCGTGGGCAAAGGCGTCGTCCAATGCTGCTTGGTCAGCAGCGAATCCGAGCGAAAGCTCGTGGTAGCTCGCATCGTTCACCAGTGCGATATCGGCCGTGAGCATCCGAATCGGTACAGGCGTGTCCGGCACGGGGCGCCACTGCACATTACCTCCTGGTCCGTCATACTTCTCCCACGTCAATTGCGTGAGGCTCTTGAAGTACTCATTGCTCCATTTGGTTGGGGTAGACGTCCACGCACCCTCGAACCCACTAGTGAACGTGTTATTCCCCTTGCCCTTCATCTCGTCTTCGCCACAGGTTCCTGGCCATGGGTTCCTAGGATCTTCGAGCGGAGACGGACCAGGACCGGTTAGACAGGCACCGTGTGTCTTGCCAATTGCGTGTCCACCACCAATGAGAGCTACTGTCTCGCGGTCATTCATGCTCATTCGAGCGAACGTGTCACGCACTTCCAGAGCGGATCCAGCCGGGTCAGGCTTGCCCAGTGGACCCTCGGGGTTCACGTAGATTAGCCCCGTAGTAGTTGGGCCCAGTGGTTCCTCACACTGTCCCGTTATGGCACAAGGTGCAACGACTTCTTGCTTTGGTGTTGGACCAAGCTGCAAGCTGCTGGCTCCATCGGCGTCGTCCTGACGACCGCCACAAAATCCGAGCACGGGACCACCGACACTCTTGATGGCTACATTACCCGATAAGATGATGAGGTCACCCCAGGATAAGGCGTCGCCGTACTTGGCCTTGATGGGCTCCAAGAGACGAAGAGCTTTGTCCAAGTTCGTATTGTCCGCCCAGCTATGCTCCGGGAGGAAGCGGATGCGAGCACCGTCACAACCTCCACGTCCGTCCGATCGGCGGTAAGACCCACTGCAGTGCCATGCGAGACGGATGAAGAGACCGCCGTAATGGCCAAAGTCTGCGGGCCAGTAGGCTTGTGAGTCGGTCATGAGTTTTTCCAGATCCTGTTTGACCAGGTCATAGTCGATCACGTCACAGCTCGTGGAGCTGTAGAG